AAACACCCTAGAGGAAGCTCTAGGGGGGAGCGCCCAAAATCTGGAAGAAATCATAACTCCAGAAGAGAACCTTCGAAAACAATTTGAAGAAAAAGACCTCATTGAGGCAATAAAATCTGGATACTTGAAAAGCCAGATCCACCGGGAAATCCTAGAGAACCCGGGGAATTTCAAAAACTTCTCTGTAAAAGACGGGCTGATAACCCGACTTGGAGAAGGAGGAACGACCCAAATAGTAGTCCCGAAAGGAAACTACGAAAGGAAGTCCATTCAGGGAATAATCCTCGAGAACATCCATGAAACACTTGGACACCTAGGATCCAAGAAACCAGTGGAAACCCTCCGTCGACACTTCTGGTGGAAGTTGATGACAAAGGATACCCACAAGTTCTGCAGGTCTTGCGGAACTTGTCAAACGACAAAGAAAAGCACCAGGAGAAATCCCGGAATGCTTCACCCACTCCCGACCCTGGAGACACCATGGTCGTCAATAGCCATGGACTTCACAGGTCCATTCCCAACAAGCTTGGGATATGATTACCTCTGGGTAATCATCTGTAGGTTGATGTCCAACGTCCACCTAATTCCAATAAAGACAACAACAAACGCACTAGAACTAGCATTCGTATTTCTTCGTGAAGTCGTAAGACTCCACGGTCTACCACACTTGATCATATCAGATCGAGACTCAAAATTCACGTCAAAATTTTGGCACGAACTACACCGAATACTCGGTGTACAGTTGAAATTCACAACTGCATTCCACCCGCAAGCCGACAGCCAAGTGGAAAGAATGATACAAAAAGTAGTACAAATACTATGAGCGATGGTTAGACCAGACCAACGCGACTGGGCAGCGAAACTGTCGATGGCGGAATTCGCGATCAATGCGAGCTCGAACACATCGACAGGATTTGCCCTGTTCGAATTAATCTACGGCCATATGCCAAAGATGTGCCTAACAGCACCACTCTCGGACTACCCAGGAGTAAATGACTTCGCTCAGAAAGCGAAGGAGAACCTCATGGCAGCACACGACACGATGATACATAATCGCGCTGCTCAAACAATCCAGGCGAATAAGAAAAGACGCCCGGACCCGCCTTTGAGAAAAGGCGAGCTCGCATACTTATCCATGGATAAGCTGAACCTACCCAAAGGCAGGGCAGGAAAACTAAAGCCCTTATACATAGGGCCTTACGAAATTCTGGAAACATTTCCAGAAACGTCAAACTACGTCCTCAAGTTGCCACCACAACTTGAACAACGTGGAATCCACCCAAGATTCCATGTATCCCGGCTCGCACCTCACGAGCCAAATGACCAGGAAATCTTCCCAAATAGGGAAGTAAACATATTCTACGATTTTGGGGAAGACCCCGATCGCAAAGCAGTAGTTCGCGAAATCCTAAACCATGCGTGGGTTCACAACGAACTCTGGTTTAAGGTTAAATGGGAACTAGGGGACACCACATGGGAACCCCTAGGAAATTGCAACGACCTCGTCCACCTGGACGAGTACCTCACCTTACAAAATGTAAGGGAACCAGAAAAACTCCCTATCAAAGAAGACAGGGAACTCTCGGCATCACTACGCCCCCAAAAATGGAGGTGGAGGAAGTAAAGCTGAGGGACGATGGCCCACAGCCAAGAGCGTGGGAAAGTTCTGGGCGAGTAACTTGCCCGGACAGCCACACCATGTACTAGAAATCACATGGGCTAGGCGAGTAACCTGCCTAGACCACGTGAACCACAGGCTCACGTGCAAAAGAACACACATCTGCGGCGAATCCCACACACGCACGAACGAAAACCCCTCCCACCACCACGAGTAACATAACAACGAAATGTCGTTCTCTGGGGAGGCAACCCTCGGTTCGATCCAAACAAACCACTGGATATCGAAATACGACAACCCGGGGAGCAAGGCTCCCCGGAACAACAACAACACCAGGCGCAGATAAGCGCCATGGATTACACGATGCACGCAGCACAAATGAGTGCTGCGAACCAACAACCATCCGGGTTGCTAACAGGCACCACATACCCCCAGCCTCCCCAAAGAGGCTTCCAACCATATGCGGTGCAAACTGCACTGATGGCGCAACAAGCGCCATTCCAGGGGCAGCATTTGCTGCTGCAGCCCCAGGCATACTCCCCAGGGAACTTCCCTGGCCAGATCAACCCCTGGATTAGCCAATTCGGCCCAGGTCCAACAACACCCCAGCCAAATGCAGGCTGGGAATCAGCTATCGCGTCAGCGGTAGCTGCTCAGACAGGTCAGCTCCGTGAGGAGCTGAAAGAGATGAAGTCCCTCGTAGGAGGGAGACAAGGGAGCGACAGCGGCTCCTCGTCCAGACCGTCCAAACGGGCACGGTCTGATAACTCGAGGGCGTCAGAAGATGCCTGCGACCATTGCGCCCACTGGAGGCGTGAATACAACAGAGCACAAAGAGATGCTGAGGGCATCTTTGACTCTCTGAAAGACACAGAGAGAGAAGTCGATCTCCAAAAAAGGGAGATCGAATTACTGAAACGCAAGCTCAGAGAGGCATGCGCACTGGCAGACCTCGCTGCCAAACCCATCATGATGGGGGCCTCCCAGGTCAGGGGGAGGGGATACGGTTCCGGGCCTCATGAGACGCGACCCCACATGGGGACTAGCGCATCAAGGGGTGGGGCACCGACTATCCCGCCACCCCGTGGGCAGGCGACCCTGTCCGGGTTGCATAAGGGCCCACCCTCAGAGGGGCAAACCCATGTCGAGGGGAAGAGGGAGAGCGGTAGGCAACCGACGGCAGACCCTAAAATGGGGACCACTGCCAGAGGCGGCGGGCCACTGAGTACCTCAGCACCCTATGGGCAAGCTACCCTGCAGGGAAGTGTCCACATGCTATACGAGACCGCCGAACTCAACGAGTTCGGCAAAGTCGAAGCTCCAGTCGACATAACAATCAACCCCAACTTCCCCATGAGGAGAATAGTGGGGTCAGAAGCGGCGCATGATGCCACATACGCTTGTGGACAAGCGTGAGTGGGAAAGAATTCGTACACTGGTACGAACAGGCCGAAGCTGCCTTCAAAAGTGGCAAGGTACACAGAACCCTTCGCGAAAAAGCGAAGGAAACCGAGAAATACTTCTTGGGACTCCCGAGTATCGCAAGACTCGCAGAGGAATATAATTCCCCAGAGAATAAGGGAAAAATCTCCTGGGAAAGTCTAGGCAAAGCTGCCTACTTAAAGTCCCAGTTCAAACCACTCAGGACTCCTGAGGAATGTGCCACAAGAACTGCAGAACAGGAAGCGAAAGCTTCCAAATACCGGGAAAGAGACACAAGTCTCCATGCTGGACAACCAGCCCAACGACCATCCTTCCCCACGGGAAGAACGGTAGACCTACCGTACTCTACACCTGAGCCAAGCAGCTCAGGAACACAACAACCCGCTCCCACCCAGGGAGCACCCACTTCGTCGAGCCCACAGCCCGACAATGTAGCCCAGGCTACGTCATCGCATCCGACGCAGCAATCGGATGTCCAGATGAACAACCCGGAGGAAAACCCTCCTCCGGGGCAATGAATCCACCCTTGAGAGAAGGGAAAGTGACATGGTAATACGCCATCGAGGTGCCTGTGAAAACACCTTCCCCCAACTCGAGGCCCCACACACAATACTGTATGCGAGGAACTGCAAGTAACAATTGCGGAAATCTCCACTCCGTCAAAAGACCCACATCCACCACCGCTCGTGTGTAAACACCACTTACACATGAACCCTCACAGAACAAGTGAGGAACACCAAAGACATACAACCTTGGGGTCAAAATTCATTTTCGACAAACTCCACCATTTTTTCTCTCTCTCCCTGCGATACCAATGTATCGCCATTCACTTCAAAGTAATGGCCCACACTCATTCATTCCTTAAACCCCCTCTCTTTTCTTCACCGACATGTACAAAATCGCCCACTTTAAAGTGGCAACAACAAAACACTCATTGATAATCCAAACTCAATGTAAATCAACTATTAAAACTCTGTTTTATTCACTATCAACCTTGTATGCGTCGCAAATGCAATGCAAAGGGGGAGAATGTCAGGGCAATAGCCCCGAACCCCGAGTCACATGTAAATTAGATACATATAGTCACATGGGCAAGCGGGAACCTCCGGAGAACTGCTTACACACCACCGTAAAATACACTATCTTGTATCACTTACGGCCTTGTGTGCTGAGCCACCCTAAGACCTCACAACCACATACTTAGGCTCCTAGGACATCCAAGCAAAAAAGTATTGTATATTACTGTCATGACCCAGCATTCCCTGGAGTCAGGCGACCTCCTCCCTGACCTTTTTCCACACTTGAACACTCCCCGCACACTCCGCTCACCGCCCCTCACCGTCTAACCCCTTCCTGCCACATCTCAATGATCCATCCCCTAATTGTTGTTGAACGACCTGGCGGTGCAGAGCGCCACAACCTTTTGTCTCATGTTTTGCTGCACCTTGTTATCTTGCGGCAAAGGTCACATTTGTCCTTCGCTGTCTCAACCACATGCTTCTTGTTTGTTTTCCTTTTTCTTTTCTCCACCCACAATCTCCATGAGATCTAGTGACTTACTTTCTATTCAGTTCCCTAGTGCTTATATACAGCTTGTAACTAATGCTTGTACTGGAGTTCGAAATCAACTAGAATTCCCCCCCTAAGCTTACCTCTGTTCCCCATAAGACCTCTGCCTTCTGAAGTATCAGGACCGCATCGAGAACAAGGTGCAACACTCCTCCCTGAGTCATTGAAGCTGAAATCCAGGCCCGCTTGCCTAAGTAGCCTTGGCCTCAAGATCGGTGAGGTTAATCCTTGCTAAAGCTTGGTCGTGAGTAGGATGCCTGTATCGCTAGCGGCCAACATTCAGTCGCCTACAGCTATCATTGGTGAAGCTTCGCACGGTTCTGACAATTACTCCTTCACCTGAAATGCTGCTGAAGATCTTAATGCAACCATGCCATCAATTGACAAGCTTGTCATTGATGAGGCACACTGCATTGATCAGTGGGGTGCTGATTTTCGACCGGACTATGCGATTCTTGGTGATCTTCATTCATTTTCCCCTAAATCCGTCCCTTTCCTTGCCACCTCTGCCACCCTTACTCCCAGCACTTTGTCATCAACCATGATGTCCCTCCATCTTCATGGCACAAGCACATACATACTGAACCTTGGCAATGATTGACCAAATGTCACAATGGAGCTTCGGACAATGCACAGCAATGTGTGGAACCTGGAGGACCTCTATGATATTTGGTAGGAGGCATTGGCAGGATGCATTCAATGCTGTATGGTGTTCGTCAATGAGACAAAAACCGCCCAGATCCTGTGCCGCATCATCCATGAGGGCTTGCCTGAGTGCTGTAGAGGGGAAGTCAACTCATATTTTGTGCTCTGAGGCCCAAAAACCAAACTACACATCATGGAACAGTTTAGGAAGGGGGAGGTGAATGTTTTCACTACAGAGGCTGCTGGAATGGTGCATGTTCATTCATTCCATGTTGCACTTTGTTCACTAACCAATAGTCTCATACTCATATACCTCAGGGGTGTGATATTCCTGATGTGAAGATAGTTGTACAATTTGGAGCCCCAAAGTCTCTAGCCTTTTGGGTCCAATGGGCTGGCTGTGCTGGACAATCTCCACTTATACAGGCAAGGGCAATTCTACTGTTTGAACCATCTGCATTCCAGATGCACAAGAAATAAGGCCTGAAGGAGGACAATGCAAGCTGGGGCATCTGTAGTGCTGAGGCTACAGTAGCATCTGGCAATGAGCCAGACCTAGCTGAGCTCTGTGACAACATGGGTCCTTCAGTTCAGCTCCACACCCATGTGCATGAAGACAATGCTGAAGATAGTGACAGTGAGGGTTCCTGTAAGGTCGGTGTGGGTTCCGACCTGGGTGACTCCTCAGTCCTCTGGCTGTCAAGATCATAGGCTGTATCGAGCTTAGATTTGACAGGGGTGAGGCTAAAGAGTAAAGAACCCTTTACCCGAGCCCAAGCCATACAAATGTAAATACAGTTGTTTTACATTGTATACAACAAGAATAAAGAAACAGCTGCTCCACCATCCATTCATTACAGTTCTGAAGACAATGGAGATGATCACCCCACTATGGCAACCGCTATCCCCAGTATGCACACCACTGCTCCACTGTCAGGGCCCAGCCTCAGACTTGGAGGCTCCCTGACCTCAACCCCCATCTGGCCTGTCCTCACGAGATGAGAAGAAGGGTAAAGGTCTCATCTCCCCACATGGTTGCTATATAAAGGAATGGGTCACATGCCCACAACTATACAGCTCCTAGAGTTGTGTAGTGTGACCCGGAGGGAACATCCAGGTGGCAGTGCCCAGTAAGTGTGGGAACATTCTGTTAGAATGGGGCGGATTCGGACGACTCCGGAATGGAATCGGAGACTTATCATGGAAGGACCTTGGCCTCAGCGACTCATGCGGAGCGCTGTGCCATTGCTGGTTGTCCTAGGGGTCCCTAATTTCGGATCTAGCAGAGGGAAAGTCTCTTGGGGGAATTCAAGTTGATTTCGGACTGAAACCAAGACGAGTATGTACAAGCGCCGATATATATAATGGAAGGGGCAAAAGCACAAAGAGAACAAAGGGTGACCGAATCGGAACGAAGACGTCTGAACAGGAACAAGGGGTAGAGGGAGTGGAGTGGTACCGAAGGTCATAGGGCAAGACCTGTGATACGTCCGAAAGGAGGTAGGGAGGGCGAGGCCCAGAGGGGCAGGAGGATGAGGGGAAGTGGGGATGATGACTAACTGGCTAGAATAGAAAGAAGCAGTAGTCCAAATAGGGATGAAGGGAAAACGCGAGAAATACATTACAGGCGGCGAGAGTGCCGAAGGTGGTCCGCGAAGCTCGGGGGTTGCGGAGCTTACGGAGGTTACGGAGGCGGGGTTGGAAGTCCGAGGAATATTGGCAATGGTGTTTACGTAGTATGAGGTCACCAATGCAATGGACTAAGGCCGAGGTGGAGTCAAAGTCCGAGGTAGGGACTATGACAGAGGCTCGGAGTAAGGTACGAGCGGTGTCCGAGTGCGAAGTACGGAACAGCGGTGGAAGGTCGTAACTTGGTGGAAGGGTGGCGGAGGAGTAACGGAGGGAGGAGAGAGGGGACAGGTAAGGGGAGAAGGAGTGGCGGAAAGGAGAGTAGTCAGGTCCGAAGGTGAGTATCGGAGCGGACAGGGGAAGCGTAGGAGGATAACGGGAGGGTGGAGGTGCTGTGAAGGGGGAGCGGAGTAGTAGGAGGGTGGTGAGAGGTAAGGAGGAGGTGTGTTGCCAGGACCGAAGGTGAGTATCGGAACGGCAGCGGTAGGTTATGACTCCGGAGGTGAAGAGGGTGGAGGTCCGGAAGTCGGGTCGGGGTCGGGTATGCACGGATATGACACATTCTGGGCAAGCTCCTTGCTCAGAAAGAAGTTCCCACGCTATCCCGTGTGTGTGTACACAACACACAAAGGCAACAACAAGGCAACAATCAAAGAATAAAGGGAGTAAAGTAGGTGGGGAGTCTGGGGCACCCTAAGGCAGGGTGCTGAACCCTGACATCCACGTTCAAACACCATCATTCCCATTTCAACCCAAAAGATTCAAAATCGTAACTTGAATACACAGAATGATTCAAACCAGTATGAGTGGCAAAAGAAAATTGATGATGACCTTCATACCTTCTATGGCACACAGACATGCTGGTGGAATTGGTTAGACCAATACTTTGGGAACCCAATGGGGCCTAGGCATAAATTGGAATTTCTGGGCATGTTACTGACTAGTTGACTCATAGGAATTACAGGTGAATGCTGCGATATTTGTACAAAAGGTATGTGGGTTCAGCAGCTGTCAGAGACTGCATGTCAGTTCACGTTGATGGAGGTGTTCCCGAGAATCCTAGTCGTTGTTAACACTGAGGTGCCATCCTCAGTGGAGATTAGGGTTATATACATGGGTACCGCTACCCACTAGAGTGTGGCTACAATGAGATAGAAGATAACCGATAGAATGACGACATGAAAAGATAGCTATTCATTTGGATAATCATAAGCAAGGTGTGGGAAAGGGGTGACATGTGGACAGAAGATAGGAAGTGGGAGCTAAGCGAGAGCTAAGCGAGATTACCTGCATTCTTTGGATCACTCCAGATCGTCTTATGGCAACTCCCTTCCAGCATAGGGAGTCAGGGTGGCTGGTTAGGCTGTGCCCTGACAGCAGCACACCTTGGAGGCCATATCCCCAAACCCTTCCCCTCAGAAGAACTCATGAAAATGTGGCATGAATTCCATTCCCTGACCAGCATCTCCCTCCCCTGCAACCCAGAGGTCGCCACTGTGGCCTTGAACCCTGGTTGTTTCTCCCACAAACTCTGTCTCTGAACCATTCCCTGCTCCGTCCATCAGTCTCAGAGGGAAACCCAAACAACAAACACGCCATGATGAGGATCACCGCTGGCAAGCTGAGCAGGCACTTCAGATGTGGCACACAATCACATGGCAATCCCACTACAGTTTACACCATTTCCAGGCAATTGATCTGCTTCCTGAGGCCATTCTCAAGTGGATCACCCTCCATGAGGCCTGGAAAACTGTAGCAGATCTTCAGAAAGTTTGGCTGATGGCAGAGATTCATGGGATCAAGATTCTCAACAATTTGATGGAAATAGACAATCAATACGACACTGAGCAGCATGAATGCAAAGAGGCAAAGAAACAAGAGACAGGAATGCAGAATGATAAGAAACAGATTGAGAAACAGTTGGAGAAACGTGCTTGTGAGCAAGAGGGTGCAGTTCATGACACTGCTATGAGAGTCTATACTTCACAGAATCAGCCACCATGCAGTTTCTTTTCACTGTGCATTCCCACAATACTGAATAGTCCTTCAGTGCCATCATTTTCGTGCTTCCTCAGGCACTGAATACTGGTGGTGGATCCACCTGCACTGCATATTTGGACATTGTGAACACACCTCCAAGTATGTCCCCTTTTTCTCAATTCCTAGTATAGGTGGCTTATCAAGGGTTTCTCATTTGGGTCAATTATGAATAGGGCCAGCCGCTTTGTACCAATATGCACAGCCAAGCTACTCCTCAATCCAGCCTCCCGCATATCAACCATTCCCACCCCTCCCCCCCATTGGCCCTTTGTTGCCTCACCCATTACATTGCCTAGTTCTTCTCTGGTGTCAGTGGGCCCTGAGTGGCTGAGAGCAGAACCATTAAGTCCCAGTCCTCAAACATTCAGTCCCAATCCTCATCACCATCTCCCTCAAATACTGGAGAGGCATCTTGCAATTCCATCCCTTCCACCAAACTCGTCTGGCCAAACTCATTCTGGACCAGGATCTTGGGCTGCTGCAGATCGTTGATACATACATTCCTGGTTAGTAGCATGCTCATAGTTAGCAGGGCATGATTTCCACCACCTGTCCAACACAGAACCAGCCATCATTCCTTTAAATCCTAGCCATGTAATGTTGACAGGTATGTCTTTTTGTCCTAGCTGGCGGCCTGGTTGCTTACAGTGCACTCTATCATCCTGATAGTGATTCATTAATGAAAGTGATGTTTTCCCTGGCTCACCCCCACAATTATCTTCTGTACATGAAGATTGATTGCTTGTAAGACTGGGATAGCTGGGGAAATCTTCTCTATGTATGCCCACATTGATGCTGGCCCACTGACTTTGAATGTGCTCTGTGGCCATGACTATGTAAGTACCATTTCCTCACACTCAGGTGACATACCTTTACTGCTTTAACATTGTGCTCTTGTAGCAAGTCTAGGCCATAGAACCCATCTGGAAGACCGGACAGGTTGACCAGCCAACAGTTTGTCATAATGAACTCCCTTCATCATCTATAAGTGTCATACTGATGATTCTTGTAATACTCACATGCCGCATATCCTCCATCCATTCCATATGGTAAGCCTGCATTAGTGTTATGGATATAGAGTCTCCAACAACCATATCCGTTGCATTGTCAAAGACCTCCCCTTCTATCACACACACACACACTCTCTCTCTCCCAATACCCTACTATCCTATTCTATCCCATTCCCCCCCCTTGTGCAAAGCTTTCCCCATCAGGGTTTTGGTGCTGGCTGAGGTTGTTTGCATTTCGCAGGATTTCCCATGACCATTTCATTTGTAGATAGTCATGCATCATGTATGGAAACCACCGGAGGCGGTTCCCACTAACTACTACAACTTGCTACAAACTACCTTGTGCATTGTTGTCCCTTGTAACAACCCCCTTTTGTGACTCAGCTGAACCTGTGTGTGTGTACAACTCTCAACATGTCCTATATGTCTGGTTACATCAAGTCATCTGGCAGTTCTCACCATGAGAACTCGAAGTTGTGAGTCGAAGCCTCACAGCTTGTGTATCATCCATTGGAACCTGTGTCCTACAGGACGTCATCACCTAGCTCTCCCTCCAGCACCTGATGGATGACATCATACTATGATATTAGGGATCATGACTGCTCTGAGGTTCATATTCCCGTGATGCCGGCACGCTTGTTACATGAGCGCCAAGTAGCTGCCCATCAACCATCTAGTTTCTCCCTTGCCAGTAATCGCACCTCACTGCCATCGGTACGTTCCCTTTGGGAATGCCAAGTCACTGAAGGCCCCACTAGTCACTCCTTACTGGACACTTATGATAATAACCCACTACTGGTACATTTGTACTATGAATGCCAAGTAACCAATAGCAACAATACAGGATCTTCACACATTGTACAAGTCGTGACCATGCACATGGCATGCTCCACTGAGGAGCACCAAGTACCTGTGGCTGACCTATCTATCCTGGCATCTCCGACTACATGCAATCAAACCCTTAATAGCTCACTCCATCATGAACCACGATTGTCTACTCTTATACATGACTGGGAACACCCATTGACTACACATTGTAAGGTGGGTGTCCTAGAACCCAGCTGTGAGTATCAAATATGTATGATTCACAGTGGGTAAGACGATAGTGACCTCCCTGGGTCATGTGACCCCTACATACATGGACTGTGACCTGACACACATTCTGTTAAGGTACAAACAAGATCTTATGATCGTCTTCCAACTATAAGAACGGGTCAAGAGGGGAGAAGTTCTCCCCATCCTTGTAACAATTAGATCCAAAAGCAGGCGTGTATAGTTCTTGTTACCACCCCCATGCATATGGCATAGGAGTGTTGGGACTTTAGCGTGGAAGGACCTTGGCCTCAGCAACTCAAGCAGAGTGCTGTGCCATTGCTGTTTGTCCATTTGGTCCTTAATTTCACAGTAGGTGAGCAGGAAGTCTCTAGGGGGCATTTCAGGTCAATTTCGGACTGAGCCCAAAACGAGTATGTACAAGTGCTGATATATATAATGGAGGGGGCAAGAGCACAAGGAAACAAAGGGGATCTGAATCAGAACGAAGACGTCTGAATGGGAACAAAGGGAAGACAGAAGCAGAGTGGTACTGAAGGTCATAAGGCAGAACCTGTGATACGTCCGAAAGGAGGTAGGGAGGGCAAGGCCCAGAGGGGCAGGAGGATGAGGAGAAGTGGGGATGATGACTAACTGGCTAGAATGGGGAGAAGCAGCAGTCCAAATAGGGATGAGGGGAGAACACGAGAAATACATTACAAGCGGCGAAAGTGCCGAAGATGATCTGTGGAGCTTGGAGCTTACGGAGCTTACAGAGGCAGGGTTGAAAGTCCAAGGAATATTGGCAATGGTGTTTACGTAGTATGAGGTCACCAATGCAATGGACTAAGACCGAGGTGGAGTCAAAGTCCGAGGTAGGGACTATGACAGAGGCTCAGAGCAAAGGTACGAGCGGTGCCTGAGTACGAAGTACGGGACAGCGGTGGAAGGTCGTAACTTGGCAGGAGGTTGGCGGAAGAGTACCAGAGGGGAGAGAGAGGAGAAAGGGAAGAGGGAAGGAGTAGCGGAAAGGAGAGTTGTCAGGTCCGAAGGTGAGTATCGGAGCAGATGGGAGAAACGTAGGAGGATGACAGAAGGGTGGAGGTGTTGTGAGGGAGGAGCGGAGGAGTAGGAGGAGGAGTAGTAGGAGGGTGGCGAGAGGGGCGGTGTTCGGTCCGAGGTGAGTATCGGAACGGACAGAGATAGGGGAGGAGAGGGAAGGAGGAGTGGAGGTGGCATGGGAGGTAAAAGGAGGTGTGTTGCCAGGACCGAAGGTGAGTATCGGAACGGGCAGCGGTAGGGTAGGACTCCGGAGGTGGGGAAGGAGGAGGTCCGGAAGTCGGGTCGGGATCGGGTATGCACGGATATGACAACACAGCTCATAATACAGAAGGGCATCCCTCATGAAAGAACAGCACCCTGATGCACATGATCAATCCCAGGGTTGAATTCTAGGTGCATCCCTTTCTCATTATCCTTTTTCTTTTGACATCTTCAGTGATCCCAATTCCCTCTAGAGCTTCTGAGGATGCAAACTCTTTTTGCATGCACTTTGCTGCCTGGACCAACTCTGCTGGTGAGAATTCCTTCAGCCTTTCAAGACTGTCAACGTCCATTAGCACTCTCCAACAATCTAGGATGTGTGCTTCAAGAGTATGCAAAATCCCCTCATGTAAGTTGTGGTACCATGGACCACAGGTATTGAGTTTATATAATGATTTCCGACCTAGGTGTTTGAAAGCGTTGCTGAGCCCATGTCCAGCAGCTGTTCCAATGAACTGCTCATGTAGCGAAGTGGCAAATGTCAATTGAACATGAAACCATCCAAAAGCAAGTACCATCCAATCATATTGCTCTACTCCATTAATATCACCTGAGCGCATACAGCATAGGCCTGACAGATGGTCAATTGTCATGCCATCTCCCACAACTGGGATGACCACTTCCGTTGCCAACCAACATTGATTCTGCAGGGTGTCCCAGCCCAAATACTTAATGAATGTCAGGGGATGCGCGTGCTCGCGCAAGGTGCTCCGATAACCTAGTTGTGATTAAAGCCGGGGGAAAGGGATGTCCCCATCTTAGGGTCAGCTATATACATGTAGAGTCCGGCAATAAGGAAACCAAACAGATTGCCGATAGAATCACGTGATCATAGAATGTTCCAGAACAATGCCGGAGATGATCCGGGTCACCGGGGCTTAGGTAAGCGGAGTAGACGGGAATTACCGGCATACTTCCCACGCGCATACGCGCAGCCGGCATAGGGTCCAGGGTCATTGCTGATCCCTGACAATGAAGCACTCCAAGACTCGTGCATTCCCATTGTATGTGGCTTCATTTTCCTCCACAGTTGGCAGCATGAATGACTTTGTAATATGCTGTTGACCTGCTTGACTGGGGAAGGAGGGGAAAGCCATGGATTGTCGGCATGCTCATAGCCCTCAAAAATGGAGAGTTGAGGAGGAAGGAAAGGATATGGTGTGTATAAAATTGCTGTATTTGCTGCATTGGCTGCAGGTCCATCAGAATAAACAACGGGAACATCTCTTGCTGTAAGGAATGGTAACCCCACCCCTCACTTTCCATCTTAATTCTATATGTGTCTCATAATAAACATGTATAAACAATGTATATACAATAACGTGGGAATCTGGGAAAAGGCAAAAAGCTTTTTTCCTCCCCATCATTGAATAATCATAGCTCTATACAGCTTAATATTTGACAAACTGAGGACTGAGGCTAACTGGGGTTGGAACCTACACCAACCCCTTACACTTTTTTAAGCTCTTGATTCAGACACCTGCACATGCATATTCGTGTGCATGGGTTATTCAACATCACCCACTATCTGCCTTCTAGACATGGAGCCTAGAAGGGTGGCAGATTTTCCCCCAGCTCTGCAAAGAGCTGACTCTATGTGTGAAAGTGCATATGGTCCCATGACCAACTCCAATCCTGGTGATGCCAGCATTGGCCAACCCAATCCTGACCAGATTGGTGTTTCCAGCACGTCTCTAGGGCCTGCTGATCCCCTGGACATGTCTGGAACTCCATCACTCCAGTCCCTGGAGCTATGATGGCCCGAATGATGGTGGAGATTACCCTGGACATGGTAGCCTGGTGCAAACAGGAGGCTGAAAGAGCCAATGACTGGTTGATGAAAGCCCAGCTGTCTGGGTCTCAAACAGCTGGGTTTGAGTCTCTGTACTATCAGCTGCTTGTATCTCAAGCAGCTGACTGTGCTGCTGCAGTGGCCAGTGCTGAGTGCTGACTTGCCGCTGCACTGGAAGAACAACTAAATTGTTGTTCGCATGCATCCCAGAATGCATGAGCCTCTATGGAGCCGTCTCAGCCCCATCCCATCCCCCCTCAACCGGTTTTAGACTAGGTTGAGAGCAGTCCGGCACCTGCAGACTGAAAACTCCCAGAAGCGTGTAGCGCTTCTGCGAGTCCTGAGCCATTACAGGCTCATACTGCCATTGCCAGGTCTGGAACCATCCCAGCCCCGATCCAATGCCATTCTCAACTGGTTTTAGACCAGGTTGAGAACAGTCCAGCACCTGTGGACTGCAATCTCACAGAAGCGCACAGCGCTTCAGCAAATCCTGAGCCGTCACAGGCTCATACCATCATTCCCGGGTCCAGATCCGTCCCAGACCTGACCCGATCCACTCTCCCACCCGCTTGGCTCCCTTTCCCAGAGCCCTGGAGGGAGTTTGAGTCCCTGGAGAACTCAGCGCTCACTGTTCTGGCAAGCTCAATCTTCCTTAAGCCCAGTAGAAATACTGGGCTACACCACTTGAGATTGGCTGATACATACAGCTGATCAACTCCCTTCATATCTGAAGGGAGATCATGATTCGAAAGACAGGATCAAATCCTGATCTTTTCCCCAGATCCTGCAGACTGTTCCTGTCAGAGACCGGATCCGGGATGAAGATGATGTCACTTCGGCCTCAGCAACTAAACCAGGAGTGCTGTGCCTAGTTACATGTCCATGCCCTAATTTACTGACTGGCAAGGAATACTAGAAGAGGGGAAACTCTAGTCGATTTTATCACTAAGGTGTAACCTATCTACAAGTTATGTATATATAGTTACATAGAGGACAGGCCTGTGAATGGTGGGGCCAAGTGGAGTGGAGCTAATGGAGTTACAGGTTAGCTGACTAAATATTACTGACAAGTCAGGTTATGGGGTTAGTGGAGTGATGGGCTATAACCCAGAAATGGAAAGGAAGGATCGGCCTGAAGGTAGACTTGCAGGGCAAGCAACTAAATTGCCCAGCAGAGGCGGGGGTGTGCTAGCAGACATTGGAGCTGTCCAGAGGCCTTCAGGGCTCTGTACTTAGGGAGGTGTAGATAATATATTGAATTGAGGGGCTGGTGACCATTGGGGGAGTTGGAGGGAATTGCGGAATCCGGAGGCTCTGAGGTTAGTGACAAAGGAGCAGAGGTAATCTGGAAGGACTGGAGGTGGTGGAGGGTGATGGATACAGTATGACAGTATCCCCTTCTTAGGCCTGAACCCTTGAATTAGTAAGGTGAGGGAAGCTGTACTTACAGAAAAAAAATGAAAATGGAAATGAGGAGTGGAGAGAAAGGAGAGATGGAAGAGGGGTCAGGATTCCTAAGGAGCTTCAGGTCCATGTTAGAACCGGGCGAGAGCAGACGATTCTGGAGGGGAACTGGAGACTTAGCAAGGAGGGACCTTGGCCTCAGCGACTCAAGGGGAGTGCTGTGCCATTGCTGTTTGTCCATTTGGTCCTTAATTTCAGAGGCAGTGAGCAGGAAGTATCTAGGGGGCATTTCTGGTCGATTTTAGACTCAGGGTCCAAAATGAGTATGTACAAGCACCTGTATATAGTGGAGAGACGAAAGCACAAGGAAATCAGAGGGGGTCCAAATCAGAACAAAGGCATCTGAACGGAGACAAAGGGATGATGGAATTGGAGTAGCACCAAAGGTCATGGGTTAGACTCTGTGGTACATCCAAAAGGAGATAAGGAGGGCAAAGCCCAGAGGGGCAGGAGGATGAGGTGAAGTGGGGATGATGACTAACTGGCTAAAATGGAAGGAAGCAGTAGTCCAAATAAAGATGAGGGGAAAGTGCAAAAAGATACATTACAAGCAGCGAAAGTGCCGAGTATGGTCTGTGAAGCTTGGAGGTTGTGGAGCTTACAGAGGCTGCAGAGGCACACCATAAAATACACACCATTGTATCACTTATGGCTCTGTGTGCTGAGCTACCACTGAGACCTCACACTTTTTTAAGTGTATGAGGTGTGTTTTACAACACAACCCACCAAAAAACTCAACAATCTTAACATCTTGACTCAGTAGTGCCAATGGCACCTAAACATGCCCACAAGGGCAAGGTCACATCTGCAGCGACGATAAAAAGAAACGAGCGGTTCATCAAGAAACTGCAATCTCCCATCATGGGAGATTCAAATCAACAGCCATTTGTCAGGGCACACCCATGCAAAACCAATGGAAATGGACCAATTCAGCCCCACAGTTCTAACATTTATACAGACTCCTGTTGTCAAAGACTGGATTCGAAAGGGAGGTATGACTCAGTGTTCAGAGGGCTTTGGCCTCAGCAACTCAAGCCAGGAGCACTGTGCCCAGTAGCATGTTGGGGCCCTAATTTGCAGATACATGGGAAGTCTAGGTGGAGGGCCCATAAATGGCAGGAACCAGGTGGAGCTGACATAACAGGGTCAAGGGTTAGTCAACTGAATATTACTGGCAACTTGGGTTACAGGTTTAACAGACAACAACCCAAAAGGAGAATGGATAGGGCGGTCCAAAGGCAGACTTGCAGGGCAGGCAACTAAATGGCCCAACAGAGTCAGGGGTGTACTTGTGGACATTGGAGCTGTCTGGAGGCCTTTGGGGTTCTGTACTTAGGGAGGTGTAAGTAATATATGGAAATGGGGGGGTGGTGACCATTGGGGGGCTCTGAGGTTGGTATGAGTGGATCAGAGGTAATCAGGGATGGCTGGAGGTGACAGAAGGTGGTGGTGGAGGATGGATATGACACCTGTGAAGACATATGTATAAAGGCTTTTGGTTGGGTCCCCATGGGTCTTTGAGTCCTGCAATTTCATTCACTTGCTATAGTATTGTCAGGGCACCTCACCTGAACATACAACCCTGAAACCCCTCCCCCAGTCCTCCCCATTTTTCCGTATTTTTCCAAGTGTATTTACAACCAGGAGCCCACATACAGACCCATGTGACTGTCATATCCATCCACGGCCATCGACTTCCACTACCTCCAATCTCTCCGAACTACCTCCACTCCTTCTTCACTAACCTCGGAGCTCCCATATTCCACAATCACCTCAGTATCCCTCGAGGGTCACCACCCCCTCTTTTCAATTTATTACCTACACCTCCCTAAGTATGGAGCCCCAAAGGCTTCTGGACAGCTCTGATGTCCGCTAGTGCACTCCCACCTCCGCTGGGCAATACACTCACTTGCCCTGCAAGCCCACCTTTGGGCCTATCCCTCCTTTCCGTTTCTGGGTTACCATTCTGATAACCCTGTAACCCGACTTGTTGGTAATATTCAATCGGCTAATGTTTAACCCTGTTAGCTCCACTCCATTTGGCTCCATCATTTGTGGGCCCGCCCTCGTTGTAACTATATATACTCAACTTGTACATATGTTACACCTCAGTAATAAAATCGACTAGAGTTTACCCCCTTCAGTTCTGGTTGCCAGTTAGTAAGTTAGGGCACGGACGTGTTACTTGGCACAGCGCTCCTGGCATCAGTCGCTGAGGCCGAAGCCCTCCGCCATGGAGACATTCCTTTGTCTTGACCTGGTCTCTGACAGTGACACCCTTTCCAAGCTGTGGGAATGCACCTGGCTTCTGCCTGCGGTCACACTATAAACTGGCACAGTCCACTTCCTTTTATAGTAGCTTAGCAGGGATAAGGAAACTCACCCTTCTTCTTAACTCACTCCCCACTTACATAGCCCCCTCAGTGAGTTTGAGGAACTACAGGCAGGATCTAGTGCCCCACTGCCCAGAACACTGCACACACCCAACTCCGAGGTCAGGCTGCCCCTGAATGAGGGCTGAGTCCTGACAAGTATGTTGTTGTTCATGCACTGTCATGGACTTCTGTGGACCTCCAGAAACATCCATGAACATTCATGGACATTCATGGACCCTTCTAATAATGCTCCCATGGGTATTCATGGGTATCCATGGGCATTCATGGCACCCATGGAATTTCATGGAAATTGGAAGATAATGTTGTACATGGGCTTTCATGGGCTTCCATGGGTGTTCATGGGTGTTCATGGGTGTTCATGGCCCCCCATGAAAATCCATGGAAGCCCATGAAAGCCCATGAAAGCCCATGAAAGCCTATGGAAAGCCATGAAAAGCCATGGATATCCATGGAGCCCATGGGAGATATCACACTTTTCAGATGTTACTCGGAATGAGGGGAAAATCGAAGGGGGGGATGGGGGGAAATTGTGGAGGGAATTGGGGGGGAAATTGAGGGGGGGGATGAAGGGGAAAATGGGAGGAAAATGAGGGGGAACTGGGGGGTTTCTAAAAAGTCAGGGAAAATTAAGGAAAATTCAGAAAATGGGGGACTTTCTAAAAATGGAGAATGTCCAAAAAATCAGGGGAAATTAGGGGGAAAATCAGAAAATTTGGGATAAGTTAGGGAGAGATATTTCAGGAAATTAGGAATAATTGGAAAAGAAATTAAATCACTTTTTTGATAATTCAATGTGTATTGGAAAGTGCCAAAGTGGGGCAATGTAGCAATGTATGTTTCAGTGTTAGAAAAGTCTCCCACCATGTTTTGGTGAGCCAAATAACCATGGCTTTTTGACCATGGGAAATTTGGTGTCAAAGGCTTGGATGATATCTGAAGAATACATCAGCTTTTTGTTTGCTTTATTGGGTGATATTTTTAATTTACTTCATTTGGAACACTTTTTTAAAACTGATTTATACCCTACATAACATGCATGGTTACATTGCCACACTTTGGTGCTTTCCAATTCACATAGAATCATCAAAATTGGTTGAGTTTTGAGCAAGAAATGAGATGAAAGATAAAGTGCAAATTTTTGAATTTCAGAGTTTTCCTCATATTTTGTAAATAGCAATAAACAAATAAGGTGCTGATTTTAGTAAACACAAAAGGTATATGAGCTTTCAGAGCAATGACAATGGCCATTTTACACACACATATATCCATATTATCTTTGCACTACTGGTGCCAAAA